GTGGTCAACATGATGTTGTTTTACGCAATTACAACTTTTGAGGGACTCCGGAAGCACGCAACTAAGTGCAACGGAAGCCATATGTTGTTTTCTGCGCACCCTGTCGAAGATGCTCGAAACGAAATGCAAAAGCTAGTTTCCTCAAGCGTTCTCCTAGTTCTTTTAGTTTCTCCTCTTTTTGCTTGAATTTTAGCATAATGCCATCGCGCACTGTTCTTTTACTCGTAAGTGTGCCCTTTCACCGATAAGCGTTTGTACGCGTACGCGCTTGCCTTGTGCTCGTATCTCACATTCGTTTGGCTATCTCTGAAATGTATCTTCTTCTTTCGAGAAAAGGCGCCAAGGTCAGGTTCAGTTCAACTTCAATGTAACAGATATGCGAATTTCTAAACGGAGCTGAGTGTTTGCCCGAGCTGGTAACCCCGTCAAGGTCACTGTTAGCCATACACCGCTACGCACTTCGGGTTTTAGTTGCATTATAGCTAAGCACAAGCTGAATTTTGCATATTCTGTTCAAGTTGGTGAGACATAGCCGCGCAAAATCACACTTTCGATCAGCGCACATTAAATTATGCCCTGTTTGAGAAGCATCTAGATTCGCGATTTGCTAGAGGCAACATGGGTGGTCTATGATTTGATCATTCACGGAAATCGCAACAAATTGTTCTCACCCATTTCAATGTGAAATTCAAGCGCTTATTAGCAATTCTTTTTGACTCTGCTTCTTTTGTAACTGAAAGCAACAAAAATAACATGATTTTATGAATGGTTCAGCTTAAACTGAACAGTAGGATAAGTCGTAGTAATTGATTTATTGACTTAGCGCTCACTCGCATTGTCCAAATCACAAGCTCATATCATTGCAAAAATAAAAAAAATAGCACTTTATTTGTAAAGACACGATTTTTGGCCCACTCAAGATCACCTGTTCTCGGAAAATGATCATTTGTTTTCTTCTGTTATTCAATACAATGCCATCCATTACTGATAGACATATGGTATATAAGGTTAGAAGAAACCAGTCATCAAATTTATAGCCACTTAAGTTGCTTTGACACTGCTATAAATATTTGTTAATTTTGTTGATCGATTTTACACAGTATGCAAGTGAATTTCTTTAATGCCTATACGTATATATTGCTGAGGTCAGTGTGAGA